GTCATCACTACCTCCAACCCCCTCGCCGCCTCCGCCTCCACCTCCGTCACCGCCACCGCCGCCATCGCCGCCGCCGCCGCCGTCACCGCCGCCGCCATCACCCCCTCCGTCACCCCCTCCGCCGTCGCCGCCGTCGCCGCCGCCTCCCACTGCCGCGGCACCGGTGTTCCCACCAGTGGCTTGGAGTCTCAACCCGTCAGTCTCGCCGTATGCTGGCGGCATTGACATGGTTCTCCACCGCACGGCCGGCGACCCACAGGTGGCCTACTTTCCGGCCGAGTACTCGGTGACGATCGAGGTGGCGATATTCGGTGCGCCGAACGACGCCGAGGCGTCCGAGATTGTGTCTGTGCCTGCCAACGCATCACAGAAGCTGACAAACGCGGTGACGTTTACGTCGCCGGCGTCCAACTCGACGGGGTACCACCAGATGTGGGTGGTGCGGCGGCGGGCTGCCGACGGCGGGTTGATCTCGCGCCAGCTGTTGGCGTCGATGCTGACGTATGTGGAGCATCAGTGCTTCGACACAAACTTTGTGTACTACGGCGGGCGCTGCCAGCCGTGCAGAGCGTTCGAAGGAGCATACTGCCCTGGCGGAGCGCGGTTCTGGCCAAAGACCGGGTTTTGGTCGCCGTCTGAGCGGGTGCTGCCGTCGCGGTGCACTGTGGAGGCGTCGTGCCCGGGCGCCATGGGCGAGATAGCGAATTATCCGGCGCGTACGCTGGTGACCGGCGAGCGGAAGACGGACATGTGTGCCGATGGATACACGGACGAGTTCTGTTCGGTGTGCGCGGACGGGTACTTTAGCGACTTTGGAAGGTGCCGGGCGTGCGGCTCGGAAGAGTCTGCGGCGGCAGAGCTGAGTCTGATGGCGATTGTTGCGGGCGGGCTTGTGCTGATTGTGCTTGTTGCGCTGTACTTTTTGTCTGCACGGCACCTTGTGACGGCAGTGGCAGTGGTTGTGACAGTGCAGCAGATTGTGCTCGTGTCGCGAATTGGGCTACAGCGGCTTGCCGAGGGGTCGTCGTCTGAGCGGTTCGCGGTGTTCATTCGGGTGATGTCGATTCTCAACTTTGAGATTGAGATTGTGCGGCCGGGCTGCACCGTGCCGCGGATCTCGTTTGTGGTTGTCTACCTCGGCACGCTTGTCATTGTCGCGGTGTCTGCGATTCTGTTCCTTGTTACAGTCTGGCTGCGATCATTGCGGACCCGGCGCAGCCGCTCGGTTGCCCCGAGCACCAAGCACGTTGCGACGGAGAACTTGGGACAGGTCTCCCGGGCTGGCTCGGACCGTGGTGTGGCGCTGGCGACGATCTGGGAGTCGGCATCCTCAGCGTCGTCGTCGTCGCTCTCCTCGAGCTCGTCGCATGTGGCGTCGGATAGCACAACTTCGTCGTCATCGACTACCTCCAGCACCTCCACTGGATCCGGCTCGGTCTCTACGGATGGCATGTGTGAAGAGGAGCAACATGAGGATGTGGCACTGCGGCGGTTGTCGGAAGCATCGTCAGGAGGAGTGTCAGATGCTATGGCGTTGGCGATGGTGACGAGGCCCAACGCCTCGGGTCGCAGCGGTGGGGATGCTTTGAGCTTGTCGATGATGGTCAACCACTCGAACGGAGCAGGGCCTCTGCTCAACCGGTCGGGTGCGTCTCATACCTCCTCGCTGCTATCGTCGCGGCGTGGCGGGGCTGACACGACGCTGCGGGAGCGGTCGATTCACGCGATGATTATCCTCGGCGCGCTGGCGTTTCTGCAGGTCTCGCTCCGGACCATCCAGGGCCTTCACTGCGTGCGAGTCGGCGACGGGTCACTTCGTCTTGGAGTTGAGCTCCGGCAGCGGTGCTTTGAGGGTGACCACCTGGCGTTGACGATGGTGCTCGTTCCAATGGCGCTTGGGTTCTGCCTCGGGTTTCCTGTTCTTTGCTGCCTGGTGGCGGTTAGGACGTACCAGCGGCTGGTGGGCGGCAAGCTGGACTCTGTGGACTCTGCGATGGAGGCTTATGGGTTTGTGCTCCGCGGGCTCAAACCAAAGTTTCTCTGGTTCCGGACTGTGCAGCTTGTGACGACGCTGGCGTTTGCGATGGAGACTGTGGTGGCGCCTGCGGGCGAGGTGCGTATTTTTGCGGCGGGGGTCAACTTTTCTGTCTCTGTCCTCCTTGTGGGCTTCCTCGATCCATTCCTGGAGCGGTGGCACTCGCTGCTTGCGATCTGCTCGGGAACTGCGAGTGGTGGGCAGATTCTGTACTTTTTGTTTTCCGAGGACCAGACGTTGTTTGGGATCGGGGCTGTGTTGCAGGCTGTCTGCTTTTCGCTCGCAGTGGGCGCAGTTGTGCTTCGGGTTGTGCTCTTCAACACCAAGGTGATCGCGGACGAGGAGGGCGTCGACACTGGGCGCACCGAAAGACCCGAGGCTGGTGTGCTTGTGGCAAAATCAGAAAATGCTGGTCTTGGGACGTCGTTCTCGTCGTCGTCCTCGTCGTCATCATCCTCGTATAGATCGTCGTCGTCGACGTTATCGTCGGAGCCGCCGACGGTGGGCAGGCCCATCTCGCAGGTCTCTGTGGCCGACTTTGGCGTCGATAGCCGAACGCAGACGAGGCAGAGCGTTGCGACACCAGAATCGCACGAGCCACGAACGGCGAGCCCGGCTCTGCGGCGGGCAGTGACAATGGCTGATACCAACGCTGCATGTCACTCGCCTATCAACGCCCGCGGCAAGTTGGCGTCGGCTGACGAATCACTGTTTATAGCAAGTTTGCCGCGGCATCGTCGGCGGTCGAGGAGACAGCCGTCGATTGTCGAGGGTCGAAAGCCGGAAGGCGAGCGAGTGCGGCGGCGACACCGGTCGCGCGAGCTGTCATGCGAGCAGTCGTCATGCGACGGAGCGGGTCCGCCGAATGTGCCACGGCGTCGGAATATGTCCGTGTCCAAGTCGCTTGCGGTCGGCGTGGGCGGTATGGGTAACGAGCACCGCCGCCGTGGCCGGCATCGCAGCCGCAACTCGCTCTCGCCAAGTGGCGGCAGCATGCCGATGGGGCCGTCTCGATCGCCGTCGTTTGCGCGCGAGGCGGTTGCCAGAAAGGTCCAGGACGCTAGGTCCCGCGGCAGTTCGCGGGCAATGTCGCGCGCCGGATCGTCGGAGAGCGACGGCGTTGGTGATTCGGTGCGAATGTCTGCGCCGATGCTGCATGAGAAGGCAGGCTAGGCTACATCGCGCCACGCTCCTGATCGGCCCTGGCCGAAAAAGCCGAGACCGGCATGAGTGCGGCACCGACAGCGCGGCCCTCCTCTGCCAGAAAGTTAAAGGTTGCGGCCGCGTTGATCGAGTCCATGGCCTCGACGGCAATGCCGCGTGCGCGAAGCGGGTCGAGAAGATGATCAGGGAGGCGGACAATGGACTTGCCGGTGCCGATGAGGAGCAAATCCATCCTTGGATGCAGAATGCGCGGAAGAATAAGGGCATCCAGGGTGAGCTCGTCGGCCGAGGCCACATCCCACAGCAGCGCCAGCGAGGGCAGGACCAAGACGCCTCCGGCCACCTTGGTGCCCGAGACGGTAAAGCCACGGGCCGAGTAGCCCGAGATCCTCACCACCTCGTCAGGTGCAGGCAGCTCAGGAATAGCCGCAATAGCCTCTGCCTCGCCGTCTGCAGCAGCATCGCCATCGCCCACCGATCCCGTCCCATCCGCCGCCCCATCCGCCGCTCGTCCCATCGCCGCCGGCTGCTGGTCAAAGGCCGCCCCATCCGCCGCTCGTCCCATCGCCGCCGGCTGCTGGTCAAAGGCAAGCGGCTGCGCATACGTCCCGTCGTTGAAGGCTCGGATGCGCGCCTCGTCCTCCGGAGAGAGCTCCCGCTTGGCACAGGTACAGGCCGTGGTGTGGAGCTGTCGCAGTGTTGCAGTTGCGGTGCGGGTCGCTCGGAACATGTCGGGCGAGCGGGTTGAGTGGTGAGGTGGACGAGGGGACCGAGGCGTGGCGGTGACCAAGCGGCGGCGGCGACTCGGCGGCGGCGACTCGGCGGCAGCGGCGGCGATTGGGTGGGTGTTGGGGGGGAGTTTGGCTGGCATGTGGGAATTGCTTCGATGTTTTACGTCAAGGGGGGGGGGGGGGGGGAGAAAGGGCGTGGATGAAGGTGTGCATCACGTTCGGATGGTACTTCACATCTGGGAGAGGAAGCCGGCGTCGAGGCGGTTGTCGAGCTCGACCTGGGAGAGGCGGCGGGCCTCGATCTGCTTGAGCTCGTCACGGGTGGCGACCCAGGTGGCGTGGATGGGGGCGAGCTTGGCGCGGAGCGGGGCGAGACGGCGAGGGAGGAGGCCTGCTCGTGGATCTCGTCGAAGAGCTCCTCAAGCTCGCGGAGGTCGTCGTTCGCGCGGGCCTTGTTGGCCTCCTCGTACTCGACCTTGCCCTGCAGGTCTGCGAGGGCCTTGTTGCAGTCTGCAACCCAAGCGAACTTCTGGGCAGCGTTGGAGCGGGCCTTCTTCTTGAGGAGGGCCTCGCGCTCCTGCTCGAGCATCTCAACGGACGACTCTGCGGCGTAGACGGAGAGGGCGGTCTTGAAGTACTTGCGGATGATGAGGTTGAGGCGGGCGATGGAGAGGTCGACGACTTCGGTGACGACCTTGGACTCGCGCTGGGCGCGGACGGCGTGGAAGGTCTCCGAGGCGGAGCGGAGGACGTCGTTGATCTTGGAGGCAGCGTCGATGTGGGCCTCGGTGTCGTGGAGGAGGCGGAGGGCGACCTCCTCCTCGTGCTCGGCGAGGCTCTGGTTGAGGCGTTGCTTCTTGACGAGGAGGTTGATGGAGCGCGAGACGGCGTTCATGCGGGCGGCCGAGCGGTGGGCGCCGAGGTAGGCGTCGGAGAGGTCGTCCATGAGGCGACGGATGTGCTCCTCGAGCTTGGCGACGGTCTGGACATGGTTGTCGTGCTCCGACTTGGCAGTGGCAAGCTGAGACTCGAGGTTTGCGGACATGGCCTCAAACTTGCGCTCCTCCTCGGCCTCCTGGGTGCGGACCGATTCGAGGCCGGCGCGGATGCGGGCGCGGTCGGCGGCGGGCTTGACCTCGTTGATAGAGAGCGAGAGGGCGCGCATCGAGTGGAGGACACCAAGGAGCTCGGCCGACTGCTTGGCCTGGCGGGCGGTCTGGTTGATGGCGGTGTCGACCTCCGAGTAGAGCGAGCCCTCGGCCTGGGTCAGCTCCTCGGTCCAGTCGACGACACCACGGCGGTCCTCAAAGTCGCCGCACTTTGCGTCGGTGACCTGGACCTTGGCCTTGAGCTCACGGGTGTCCGGAACCTCGATGGCCTGCAGGGTGGCGAGCTCCTGGACAAGTGCGCGGAGCGCAGCCATAACCTCCTCCTCGCCGTCCTGGTTGCGGGTTCCGGCGTAGACGTTGAGAACGTCCGAGACGCGAGAGGCGATGAGGTCAAAGACCTGGGCAAAGTCCGGGTCGGCCGACTCGGCCATGGACTGGACCTGGTTGCGCAGCTGCTCGAGCTGCTCGTACCGGCCAGGCTCGGACGCCGCACGGCGCTTGTCGTCCTCGTTGAGGGCCTCGTTGATCACGGGCGGGAGCGCTGAGTCGATCTGCTGCACAATGGGTGACTCGTCAAACTTGGGCTCGACTTTGGAGTCCGACTCGAACTGGCGGAGGAGCTCGACGACCGAGTCGCGAATGTCCACCAGCTCCTGGGCGCGGGCGTGCTCCTGACGGCGGGCGACACCGGTGGTGAGCGCAGCATGAAAGTCGACATCGAGAGCAGATGTCGACACGACAGCCTGCCGCGACGGCGACGGCGACGCGCTCACTCGCTGATACGACGAGGTCATGGGCGCAGCCGGCGACGGCGACGAGTACACCACAGGCGATGACGGGTAGTACGAGACCGGCGAAGCGTACCTATCCACCACCACCCACCACACGAACCATAACAACGGCATTGTCATCATCGTCGCCGCACATTGTGAGTCATGATCATGACGAGACGATGAAAATAAATAACGGGGAGGGGGGAGGGGGGGAACAACCATTGATTCATGATGGATGGTAACAAATGAGGTAACAACGATGGTAACAATCATGGTAACAATCATGGTAACAATCATGGTGACAATCATGGTAACAATCATGGTGACAATCATGGTAACAATCATGGTAACAATCATGGTAACAATCATGGTAACAATCATGGTAACAATCATGGTAACAACCATTGATTAACGATGGATGGTAACAACCATTGATTCATGCGGTTGGCAGCGAAGAATGGGCAAATGACTCTTTGTCAACAAAGGGAGCAACAATTAATTGATGGTGGCATGTGATGGATGGATGATGCGCGGTGGCAGCGACCAACGGCTCATGATTCGGGAGACGGGGTCGGGGGGGGGGGGGGAAGGGGGGGCTGGTGGGAGTGGGGGAGAGGGAGATAGTATGACGTACGAATTGTAGGAGGTAGAGGGGGAGACGGTGGACGGACCAGTAGCAGTAGGGGTGGAAGTGGTGTTCGTAGCCGTCACTGTAGCGGTGGTGGTGGTGGTGGTGGTCGGCAGAGCCGAGGCAGCCGTCGAGGGAGAGCCGCTGGCGACCGAGCCACCAGTAGGGACAGCAAAGCCGGCGTAGGAGTAGTTGGAGACAGGACGGGGAGCAACCGGAGAGTAGAACATGTTAAGTGCTCCGGGCTCGTACACGTAAGAGCGGCGGCGCTGCATCGGCGAGTTCCCGTACATGGCGGCAGTGGGGTGGTGCTCCCTCTCGCTCCCGTCAAACTCGCCAACAGCTGCCGCATCGCTTTGCGACCGTCAGCCCCGTCCCGCCCCACCTCCCCTCATCCATCCGCCCCCCGATCCAGCTGGTGTTCGGCTCGTGGCCATCAGGACAGACTCAGCTTCTGCTGTTGTTGACCGAGGTAGGGAGAGGTTGCTAAACTTGGGGACGTGGAACGGTATAGGGGAGGGGGGGACTTGGGCGTGTCGATCTTGTGTATAGGGAGGGGGACGGGTGTGCCTTTTGGCCGCATGATGTCTCCCCCTCCTTGCTGATGTCGATGCCAGGCATATCACCGCACCGATCATCTTCTTTGCGCAACTAGCTGTGTATGTTGCAGGGGCTAATGTGCGGACCTCTCCAGTGGCGTTCCACATGGGTTGGCGTGGCGGCCGGCTGTCGCCACCATCGCCCCCTCCCCCAACCCCAACTAGGGTTTTTTTTCAGGGG